GGCTTTTTTTTTACTATAAATTAAAATATACCGACCAATTGTTGCGACGGGGACTGTATGATATAGTAATCCCACATCGATGATCTTCTGTCCAGATGATGGAAACATAATAATATGCACAAGTGATGAGTTTGGTTAGGATAACTTGCCAAACAAAAATCTTTCTCCTACAAGAACTCATCTTTGGGTCAATTGTTCCTACGGCACATATTTGAAATAGGAGGCGTATCTCAATTATTTTTGTGCAAATGTTGAAAGCGTAACTGGTGTGTAGTAGTGTGTAGTGATCCGATGCTTATAGCTTTTTTTAAAAATGTTAGATATACGATATTTCGTAGAGCTGATGAGTTCGGTTAGGATAACTTGGTAGCTATGGGAGCTATAAGATATAGCAGTCTGCTCTCAATGACTTTTTTATTTGAAATTAAGGAGACTGGGATACAGTAATACGATTTCGATGATATTTTGTCCCAATTTTAGGAGCACAACATTTTTATTTAGTAGGTCTGGATTGGATAACTCGTTAGATAGAAAAGTTTTAATGCAATAACCTCTCCTTTGACTGATTATTGCCATTCAAGTTATATGATACCTTAATCCAATCCCGCTGACTACTCCATCTGTACTGCTGTCTGCAGCAGGACAGCTTACATACTAATGGACGAACAGAAAACGTCTATATTGGCCTTATGTTGTCAGAGATGTCTCCGCAAATACGTTACAAGCTTCCCGACAAAGTGAAAATACCCTCAGCAAGGCTATAAAAACTTTGGTAAAGGAACATTTTACGCTGTTTTCTTGTGAAAGATGAACGGCGTCCGCTGGGACAAGGGGGAGGTGCGCAGCATTCCAACTGTGCATAATAAGGGCGTGGTCATGTTTACTCATAATTGAAATTTCGCGCTAAACAGGAAATAGCGATTGTTCTCCACTCGTAGACACTTGTTGTTCTATTGTGCACTGACTAAAAGCAACAGAGGCACTACAAGCTGTGGGGCGAAGTCGGGTGTAGGGTGTCGGGTGTTCATAAATGCACGGAGTAGTACAGTATTTATGGGCGAAAGTGCATTGAGGCAAATAAAGCCCACATGCTACAAGAAAAAAATAATAGACAGAAGAAAAAATAAAGAATATTGCCTAGGAGGCTGCTTTTGTTTCGCTTGAAAGATCTGCGCCTGAGCGCACAGAAAAGCGGAGAGAATAACAAAGCGAATTCTGTGTAATTCAGATTGAATCTCAGTTCTTGCTCTTCCTCTTCTTCATCTCCTTTTAAAATAAATTTTAAGCTTCTTTTTCCATTTACTTTGCCATCATGTGATATTTACACTTGCCAACTAGAATGTAAGGTATAAGATAACACATTCAAAAGGCGGCAATAGCTTACTGTGGAGATTACCTCAACTATTGTCAATACTCTGATTTATTTAGCTTTTTCCTGATTGGATACGGCATACTATTAACGATACTCCCGCATTCCGTACTCCCATTTCAGTCAGTTTGCTCTGCTATTCCATTCTAGCCCATTTATTTTCCTCTTTTCACTGCATGCCAGTCGCTGTCGTCTGTCAAGTTGCATCGCCAGTTGTTGCCACTTTGTATTCCCGCTCAATCCCCTCTGATCTGCATCGCCATCACCATCACCATCTCCAGCTTCATCCTTGCACGTACTCTATGCTCGAGAGTGACATGTGCTTCCTCTCTGTTATATTTTTGTTCGCCACAGCTCCCAACAATATTTCTGCTGTTATTTTCCACATGTGAAACTGAACTTTGCATCTTGGCGCAACGTGCCTGCTACAAACGCATTGCCACACGGTTGATGGTTCTTGCTGCTGTATGTCTCCCCGTCCGCCACACGACCAATACTGCACTTGACTTGTGGCGCTTCCCGGTCACTCTCCTCCCCCCGCCGAAGCACAGTGCTCCCCTTCTACGTATTCTACGCTTGTGACGTTGTTTTGACACTGCGAATGCGCGCGCGTGTTTATAAATAAATATCCATATATATATTTATATATATCGTGTATGCCTCGTATATGGGTGTACAACACACATATTTATATGTAAATATATACATACGTACGTATGTATACTGGAAATATGTTTGAGAAATATTTACACGCTTCTGCTCACTTCTCCGTTGCCGGATTTTCCCTCTTGGCTGGGCTAGGCTGGGCTGGTTGGCAGCACACATGTGTCGCATTTGGGTGATGGGCAAGGATGGGTGAGGGTGAGGGCACCCCTCGCATTTTTCTGGTTTTCCCTTTGAAGTTCATAAAAATTAACAAAAAATCAATTTACGAACACAAATGACGCGCTGATGAGGAGCAAAGCGACCGTTCCACCAATGTTTACATTGCAATTGAACTCTTTGCGCCATGCCACGCCCACAAATACTCACAGGGGGTTGGTTGCTTGGCATTACGCGTTGCCAGTTGGGTTGCGCGTGTTGATTGCCCATCAAAACAAAGCCTGGCGCACGAGGAGCACAGCTTGAGATTTGCATAGACGCACATCGTTCATAAATCCAACGATAATACCCCGAGCTTCAATTCGATATTTATATATGTACGTGTATATACATAGTGTGTGTGTGCCAGCAACTACGTGCAACACAAGGCATCAAACACAGACAGAGCCAAAAAAAAAAATGAACCAAAAAAAAAAAAAAAGAAAAAGTTGTGAACATAAAAATAGAGAGACGATTATGATGAAAATATTCATGCGACGAAACGAAAAACATCGCCAAGAGCCATGGCAATGTCCCAGGAGTCGCATGGTCGCAGCGTGACTCCTCCCCCCACCTTTCGTCCATCTCAATATATACATGAATGTACATATGTACGTAAGAGTGCCAGTTGTTTATGTGGCAACGTTAGGCAGCACATTCGAGTTCCACTTAAAGCGTCATCTTTGCCAAATGCGGCACTATCGAGTGGGGCAAAAGAGAATACACTTGAAATCCTCAAAAGTCAACGATGGAAACGGTAGGCATTTTAAGCTCTCGAGTGCCGACTGCTAATAAGTAAAGAAGCAGATGAAGCAGATGAAGCAGATGAAGCAGATGAAGAAGCAGAAGATCAAGCACACATAATTAAATTTAATGCTCAAAAGGGCACCGCGCTAAACTCAAGCCAAGAGCGATGGAGTGAGACGAGGCTGCTTGGCCATGTCTATATCGAAGCATAGAAATTCAATTTACTACAAAATCCCGCGAATCGGCGTGGATACACCAAACCAAATAGAAAATGCCAGAAATTGTGTCTCGCTTTTTTGGGGCCAAATCCTGTCATAAATTGTGCCCGGAAATGGCAACAAAAGACAGACGGCCCAGACCCAGAAAATATGCTGATGTCGATGTCGAATTATGATTTGTTTTTTTCGAGTGGCTGACATCCCAAAAATTGGTAAACAGAGAATGGGGGACGGTGGGCTGTAGAAAAGCGGTCGCTTTGGGAATAAGATATGACCGATGTGGCCTGTTTGTTGCTGTTGCCTCAAGGTTACAATAATCTGAGCGTAAATTACAACAACCAGTTGATGGCCTCGTAAAAAGCACTAGGGGCAGCCAGGCTCAACCAGCACAACGGCACTCACTCACACTCGCACACTCTCAGACACACTCAGACACACACGGTCGACCTCGCAAATTATAAAGTTGTTTGGCCAAAACTGCTGGCTGGCAAAGTTTGCATTTAAGTTTTCCATTTCTTCACTTTTCCTTTTTTTTATTTTGCTTTTGATACTTTTTGAAGAGAGAAAAAGAATCTGCAGCACGTTTTAGTAACGCACATTGATAAGCATTTTTGGCAATCGGTGAATGATTTGCAAGTTTGCACAAAGTGCTTGCACAGCCAAACATTTTGTGCCAACGTGTGCGAATATCCAGCACCAACATGTGCTGCCCTTTTTGGCATAGTTTCCAATTCGAATCGGGGGGAGTTAGGGAAGCAGGCATTGAAGGTTTGAGGTTTGCTCAAATGTTAAGTGCTTTGTGCGCTGGCAGGACAATTGAAAATGTAAGTAAATCGCCGCAAGCTCAGTCTTACATATCATGAAAAGAAACAAAAGAGCATATATGATTTTAAGGGGTTTTGATTGCAGCAATCCTAATTTGATAATAGCTAAAGTGATGGCATATTTTTGCTTTGACTGCGTTTCTAGTTTTTCAGTCTTTTTCTATCTGTAATGGATTTCTAGTGGGTCTCAGGCAAGGCATCATTTGATTTTTAAAGTAAAAGCCCCACTTCATCTTCAATTATCAGGTATATGGAGCTCTATATATATATATATATATATATATTTCAGCTTCAACATAATCAAGTCAGAAGGGAAAATTATCACACCTTTTGTTTAAATTCTTTTTTTATGCTCTTGCAAATTTTAATTGTTGGGTAAGACTGGCTTCAGTTTTTGTTTTTTATGGATAACTCATACTTATATATTATAATTATAATTTAAAAGTTAGATTTCAAAGTTGCTTATAGCGGGGAACGAAGAGCCCGACAATCAAGCGAAAATGCAGACAGACCCCTAAAGGGAACAGACGTAGGCGGCAAGCCAAATATCTTTTAGGCTGATATAATCAAAAACGATTTAAGCAGACTTAGAATACTAACGCGTAAGGACGGGAAGAGGTGAAGTATTCTAGGGATACATGTTTTAAGCTCGTAGGTCATAGAAACCCTCAACCCGATAACCCCCAGCTAAGGGATTAGAAGAGGGTACAATATCTTTAATTGGGCCGCAGTGCATAAAGGGATCCAATAATAATAATGGTTTATTCTCCCTTTCATAACTGACTTGCACATTTTATTTCTTTAAGAATTGCCATGCTATAAAATGAATATCGAATTGCTCTAACCTGATTCTTATTTTTCTGTACTGTAACTAAAGTCTTTATTCTTTTTCTTAGATGCAGATGCAGATGCAGATGCAGATGCGTGCGTATTGTGAACAAATTTGTGCTTGCTGCAAGTAGTGAAATGTACTGTACTTACTGTTCTTTTGAAAATCCTGTGACTCTTCTTCCGCTCGTGTCGCTTCCGGCTGCAAGAATAGCAGCAACAGCAACAACATCATCGCAGCGAGTATTGAAACCGTTTTCCCAGAGTCCAGCAGCTTTCGTGTTCTTGATTTTCGATGTGTGTTGTGTCGCTGCCTCGGTTGTTGTTCTATTTGTTGTTGTTGTTGTTGTTGCCTTTGCGATTTTGAGAATGTTTCTGTTGTTGACAAGTTGAGTTGCATTTTTGTTGTTTTGTGTGATGTTATTGAAAACTGCATTGTAGTCATTGCGTTGTGCTCGAACGCAGAAACGTCCCGTCATTTATGTAGCAAACTTCAATTTAGCCAAACAGTCAAAGCAACAAAATTCGTATACCAACTTAAATGGCCACAATACATGTGGTGACCCTGACGCTAATAGACAGAATCCCAGATTCGGTGTATGAGAGTGTGCATGTGTGTGTGTGTGTGTGTGTTGTCGTTTTGTTAGAGCTGTTGTTGGCAAATTCCGTTTCCGTTGCTGTTTCCGCTTTTGACTTTAATGAAGCGCCAACGCGTCTTTAGTTCGCTTTGACTTCGAGTTTGTCCCATAAAAAGCACATTTCAGCTGGCATTTATATGGATGTGTGTGGCTCAGCCGTTGGTTGAATTCTCGGCTTGCTTTCAAATCGCAGGCATGTCCTGTTGTTGTACTGCTGCTACCACGGGAATCTTAATGTCCTTTTACATGTTTATTTGCACTTTTATGGCCCTTTTCAGCATGCCAGAATGGAGAGGCGTCCCTCGGCCCACGCACTGCAAAATATAAAAGCAAAGAACAAAAATCAAAACATGAAACATGAAACACGACGAAACTTGAGCAACTTCTTGGGTTATATCTATACAACACAATAACAACAGCAACAATCAGACAGTCAGCTTTGATCCAATCCATTGCTATGTTTGTGCTTGACGTCGTTTTTTTATTTACCCTGTACCCATTAAAATTGGCTAGGGAGGGTCAATTGAAGTTGTGCTAAAATATACAAGAGGCAAAAGGAAGCGTAAGTAAAAATATTGTTGATCAGCCTTGTCTGGCAGTTTATCTTTCTAAATTTCTGCCTGTCTGTCTGTCTGCTAGATTAAATTTATTTCATTTTATCGATACAAATCGGTTACCCATAACAGTAAATAGATATATGCATTGGCTTAATATATATGAACGTGTTGGTTTGAATGTCCAAGACTCATACGGCTTCTGATACGTAAAGTCTTGGATTTAGGGTATCTCCCAGTCAAGCTCTTTCAGCTAAAGTTTTGCTATTGTTATTTTTTGTTTTTGTTTTTGTGCGAAATATGACAGTGGTAATAAAATGCTTTTTACTGATGTGCGCCACACATACATCAAGCAAATTGAACTCGTAAACTTGGACGGAGGCTAAAGGGTAAGTCGGCAAAGTGAAAGTCAAGGAACTGGAATTCGTCTGTGAGTTGGCCGGCAAATTGACTGTTTTATGCGGCTATCGACCATCGATGAAGTGTGATTAATGGCACATTTCAATGTGAGTCCTGTAATTAAGGCTGGCGGTAGATTTATGTGTATGTTGCCACAGTTGTTGCCACAGCAGTGTGTCGGCAGTCGAGATAGTACACCTTTACCCTGGCAATGGCACAGGCCCCTTTCAATTGACTTCTGCTTTATTACCCGGCCAAATGTTGCGCGTTGCTGCTGCTGTTGTGCCTTTTAATTGCGTGCTTAGCAGCGAACGCTGGCCATTAAACAACGCATCAAAATTGATAAACCAACCCTACAGGCCACAGTGCCAGTTTCAGAGAGTACATCAGGAGCAGCCACCCACAACCCCTCAATGACAGCGAAGCGTTGCAGCCACGCATGTGTCATGGTTTGTTTGGCCTGAGCTGCAATCATGGAGTGAGGTTGAGGGTGCGACAAGAGCGGTGACAGGCAGGCAAGCAGGCAGAGAGATGGCAATGGCATGATTTGGCTGTGGCGCTGTTGTGGCTCACCTTAACCCAGAAAGCCGTCGAGCTTGTTATTATGCAACATTTTGAATATTGTTTTAGGGTGGCATGTTTAGCATGGCTCTACAAAAAGGCAGGCATTCTGTTCTTGTTATTTTTTCGACAGTGCTGTTAATGAGGAGCACACACATAAATAAAAGAATACGCGCGAAAAGTTCATAAATTTTGATGAACTTTGAAGAGGCTCCGCTGCACCTTTTGATTAAATGATAACTGAACAGAACCGAAATGTGTGGCGTTTGTGCGAGTTGTTGTTTATTGCTGCTGCTGCTGCTACTGTTGCTGCTTCTGTTGCTGCCTGTTTGCATGTAATTGCATATTTACATATGTTGTCTGCCATATAAAGCTGTTACCTATTCGTTTCATCTTGTGTACCTGTAAATAACTGTGAGCAGACGAACCCAGCAAACCAAAACTTTGCTCATTAGTAAATTTCGTGCTGGGCGGCGGCATATGCTCCGACCAGATACAGAAAGTATTCTCCGTACACATATACATAGGTGTATATAGAGTGTAGCATATAGCATGAGTAGTTTCTACTGCTGGCTGTTAGTTGGCATATTTTATTACTGATTAATTAACTTGACTGCGCTTGTGTTCTTTTCGGCGACTACAACATACACAGCTTGAACTTGCCCAACAAATGAAGGATTTCTTAATTAAAAAAGTTTGCAAGCGCATGAATAAAGCGATGACAACAAGGTGTCCTTGCTGCTTCTTATGCCTTGGAGGAGGCTACTGCAATGTTGTAGTTAAGTTTGTAACGCATTAGGGGAGATGTCTACGAAGTCACATGGTATATATATTGTTGATTGGGATTACTAGTCGAGACAATATAGCGAGATACATCTTTCTGAATGTCTGTTTCTAAGCAAACTGAGAGTGTTATTTTTATAAAATCTTGCAGTGTCAGAGCCAGCAGAATCGGTTGACTATATCATATAGCTGACATACATCTATATATGTATCTATATGGTGATCAATAAATCGCGACCAAACTCACAAGAACATCTACAGTTAACTAATTAAGCTATATTATATTGCCATATTATATATAATTTAAATAGGATATTTCATTATTTTATAATAAAATTAAAATATCTAGAAAGGGAATGCTATCTTCGGCGTGCCCGAGATTCCCATTATTCTTGTTCTGTTTTCTATGTCTGCTTATCTGCAAGTATTGCACAACATTTGACCTCTATGAACAGCAGCGATTATATACATATAAAGTTATAAATAAAGACCGGAGCAGTTCAGACTTGTCATGCCGATGAGATTATGGTGGTTTATAAATAGTGGTCCAAGTCCAAGATCCGAGTAGTGGTCGTTTTTGGGGCTAATCAGAGAGATGTCTACATCAAAAGGCGGTTGTAACTTTGGCAACTTATCTATTATTTGTGTGCGTGTGTGTGCTTTGTTTGTTTGTGAGCCCCAAGGCAATTATATATTTGCTTATATTGGGACTAGTATTGATTGGCTGCTCTGAACACACAGACAGGTGCGAGCATGTTGCCATGTTGGAACACTTACAGACTACACCTTTCAGCTGTCTGAAACATGGCCAGAGTCTTAGGCATTCAGCCTTGAGCCTTGTCAAATTACCGCAGCCACTCCATCATGTTTAATTCAGGTCCTGACAGTTGCCACCCACACGCATAGATCTCTATCTGCTCTTCTTCTTCTCTCTCTCTCTCTCTCTCTCTCTCTGTGTGTATGGGTGTGTGTAAATTTATGAGCAAATGCTCAACTTTGACATAAATGTTCATCATAATGTGACACAATTTCCTTAAGATTTAACGCCGCATCAGCCATCGAATGGGGCACATATGAGCCATGAGCCGTGGAGCCATAAGTGAATAAGGATGCGAGTGAAAAGATGAATACGAGTGCGATTGCGATTGCTATTCCGAACACGAGTGTCAAGGCCATTGCTTTCTGCCTTGTGTGCAATTCGTATGCTTCATAAACTCGATTTACTTTCTTTCTTTTCGCTCTGTGCTCAAAAGGCAGCGGTTGCTGGCAGCTGACATAAATTTTAAAATTAAATAAAAATATAATAATATTATAAGAAAAATACATTTTTAGCTCAAGTCAAAGTCTCTGACAACACACACCTACACACATGCTATATATATATATATACTATATGTATGTACACTTGCAAAAAAATAACAACATTTTGTTGAGGGTAAGCTTTCTTGTGACATAAGCGATTTATACTTGTGCTGTAAATGAACACAATAAATTCGAATGTCATTTTATCATGAAGAAAATTTGTGGAATAAATTGAGTCTCAGTGATTATTTTGGTGAGTGTATGTCACCATTCTTATCACGCTGACAGAGTAGCTGAAACTCCTAAATAAAATCAACCGTTGAGTTGCTTTCGATTTTTTTAAGTTCCAGTTTGTCTTTTTTCGCTGAGTGTAATAGTGCCTTCTAGTTTTCGTTCTTATCGAGTCGAAAGGGTAGCTGGAACTAAGTCATGATGGGCAATCACAGTGCTTGGGTGCTGACTGGGTCTTAAGATGCTGCCAACATACAGCTGCAGTTTCTATGTGTCTGTGTGAGTGTCTGTTGAAGTGTTTGTGTGTGTGTGTGTTGATGTGTGATATCATAAGCATGCGTCTGACAAGCATAAGCACCGCTGCTGTCACTGTCACAGCAGCAGCAGAAGCAGCAGAAACCCTTAAAGCAACCCTTGGCGACAATGCATGTTATTACACCACGCGGCATACTTTTAGCGCCACTCAAGGCACATTCCTTTATGTGCTTGTGTGTGTGGAAATAAAAGTTGAATTATGACAAAAGGCATGCATCAGTCAGCAGCAACAACAGCAGCAACAACAGCAACAACAACAGCAACAACAACAACAGCAACAGCGACAGCAACTATGGCCTGATAATGCGCTCTTCACTGACATTGCTCAACTTTCAGCGTGTGTGTTTACTTAAGCCGTAAGTGTGTGTGTGTGTGTGTGTGCGCCGTTTAACATGTCGTATGCGCAATTTGTGAAATATGCGAGCGCTTTGCCTGCCAGCATAAGCAATAAGCGTGCTGTTGCCATTATGCGTGTGTGTGTGTGTGTAGTGTGTGAGTAAGCAATTAGTTGCCTTTTCAGCTGAAATAAAAGCAAATCGTGCGAAGGTTTTGCTCAGGGGCGCCCCTTATGCGGTGGCTTGGGCCAGGGGAGAGGGGGGCCTAAACAAACAGCAGCTCATTAATATCCTTTATGCGTTTATTACAGGCATCCGGCAGCATCTTATGAAAAACATTAATAAATGCGCAGAGGCAGCCATAAAAGCAACAATAACAAAAACAATAACAATAACAAAACAACAGCTAAAAGCCAGAGAGAAAATACTAATAAGATAAACAAATGGGAATCGCCTCACGCATAGAAATCAAAATCAATCCGACAATGCATTATTATTAATTGGCCTAATACGTTCACTTAGCCAGAAATCATTTATTTGCGCATGCTAAGCCTAATAATAACAATTGGATCAGCTGCGCGTTGAGGAAATGAAAGATGCATGACATATTGCCCGAAAATCGGCCATTATCCAATTTGTTTGTCCAAAACTAAGCCAAATGCAATTTTATACGAGCTGACTGACCTTTTGGCCTGAATCCCTAGCACAAACTGCAAGAATTCGTTTTTTCATGTATTTTACACACAAAAAACTAAATGTTTTCTTTCTCCCTTTTTTTATGTCGCCATACTCGCACTTTTCGCCCCAAAGCTAACCCATTTTTGGGCACGAGTC